CGGAGATCACAATAGAAGAAAATGTGAAAGAAACATTTTAAAAGGAACCCGTTATATAACGCACGGTTTTGTTCCGTTTCACAGTAATAAGCATTTCTGAACGATGAAAAGCAGAGGACGTTTAAATACAAGTCTAGAAGGACACCTGAAACCTTCTCTAATGAAAGACATTCTTTATTTTTAATAGAAAAACTCAAAATCTTTTAAACTGTATTCAAACAAGCTCCAAATATCTCTCCTACAAAAGGTTCAAGTGACCTACAATCTTTTGGTCATAAAAGGTGATTTCAAGCCCTTGAACACACTCTAAGAGGGAAAGAACAGAACTTACTACCATGAAGGAGATGGAACACGGATATAAAAGCAACCATGCTCTTTTATCTCCAGAAATTGCATCCACAATCCACATTAGATTGTGTATTGAGTAGAATTTATCATCAAGAAGTGATACGAAAATTGAGCAATTTTTCGATGCTACAAATCAAATAAGAGGGGAGATTAAACACCAATAAGAAGAAGGGAAAGAATCATGAAGAAAATGAAATACTCAGTCATTCCTCCTTGCCGATTTAAGCAATTTTAGGACATTTTCATAAACAATAAATGTTATTGAAGAAGCAGGAGCATTTTTCAAGAGGTTTGGGGTAATTCCTTTGTAAAAACCTCGGACACCTTCGTATCTGCAAGAACAGAACAAAATCTATAATGGCACAAATAGACTCAACTTGAAAAGAATAAGATCATATTAATTTGGATACACACAAGAGAAACGATAGTCTTTTTTATAATTTATTGACAGCATTATTTATGATTCCTATCCAATTTCCCCTTTGCTTATTTGTCAATATAAAGATGTAAACTAAATCTTGATTGGTTTTAATATGTACCGTGCAGTTTCTTTCACAACATGCCAAGTGTCCATATATCTTGGAACCCCATCACCACTAGGCCGTTGCTGCAGACACAGAAAGTTTAGTCCAGCTTGGAGACAGATGCACAGTTAAAAGAAATATGTAATATCTCTATCTTTGTAATAACATTATTGTACCTGCAATCGTGAACGTATAACCTGAAAAGGATAGGTTAGAAGTATTGCCGCAAGTTTTGATGTTGCTCCAAGAACAGCATAATCAACAGAATTCTGGGGGAAAAGAACAATATGAAAGCATTAGAAAAGTTTTACATAAAAACATTGATTAATTGCTTTTATCATAAATTCAATTGAAATCATTTGTAAGAATCGGATAACAGGAAGCTAAGAATACCAGACAAAACATATCTTAAAAGTTTATTAGCTTGTAACAAGTAAAATGTAGGATATGCATAAAGCTGCATTTCTCTCAATTAACATATCCTTGAATTTAACATAGCCATTTAAAAACAGTGAACAAAAGCTAACTGACGCAACTAATATCAGCTTAAATATACCAAGACCAAGCCAGTTCACAATCAAGTCAAAAACTATATAGGCATCCACTATCCACATTCATGCAACAACCATAATCATGATTCTTAAGATGTATCGATTTGCTCAACCAAACTGGAGGAATGATTTCTAGAAACAAGACTTGGAGAGCAATACAAGTGACCAAAATGGTCAATCATCAAAAAATCATTTGAAGGATGTAAATTAGTCCAATATATGTGAATTCCATAGTCAAATAGATCCAACATCCAAGGTCCTCTAACTTACCAGTAAGTTATCAGGGTTTTGATTATGGAGTGTACTTCGCTTACTCTTAAAATCAACAGTAACTTTGCGTAGCTCTTCGTAGGCTGTTAACTTAATAGCACCATGAGACACCTGCTGAAACATAAATTCAAGTAAGCTCACAATAAAGCATACAAAGACAATGATAACTGATAAGTATGATTTTTGACTTTTGTCAATACTTGATAATTGATATAGCCATCGGAGTTTTAAAATTGTCCCTTCCACACCCTAGAGAAAAGTAGCAACTTAATAATGGGTTTAGAAAATTTAGACTCTAGCTTCATAAATGACTAAAAAGCTTCAGAAAATAGTTATTATCAAAAACTAAATCAAACATAATATAGTATATTTCTATCATATTTGTTACTTTATCTATGCTTTTCTTTTTCACTTTTTGAACAATTTTTCCACTTCTAGGGAAAATTATTTTCTTTTTCATCTTTTTTAGCCATTTTTTTTGAGGAAAAATATTCTTAAAATTTCTTTATTTCACAACATCTTCTAAACTATTGCAAAAATACTAAAGTTTAATATAACTAACTTTCAGATATGAATTGCGGGAATATTATTAATATCCTGGCAAGGAAAGAGTTAACAAACTTAAATAAAAATGCAATTCCTTCAATGAATTAGATTTGATGACAAGCACATTCTTACTATACTTGTAAGTTTAACGCTATTCCAGCCAAATTTTCTGCTAAGTACCTTCCATTACCATGTAATCCTAGGTAATGAAGAGATTTTTTCACAAGAAGAATTGCAATTTAGGAATTTTTAGAAGAAAATAAATTCAATTTGTAAATAATTTAGAGGAATGGTTAATTAAGTCAATATATGGTTTAAACAAGAATTTATCTTTGCATATTGTCAAACACCATCTGGTTAAATGTTCCTAAGTTGAAAATATGTTGGACAATGCTACCCAAAATGTAATTCTCTAAAAAAAAAATTCATGGTGATATTATTCTCAGAAGGCAGGTTTTTGTGCTTTACTAAATTCCATCCGAGTTTGGAGTAATTTGATATAAAGTTTGAGAAAAAAAGATATACACACCACTTGAAATTTGGGGTAGTTGCAACTACTCACCCTAAACATTTAAACTATAAGAAACTTCACAACAGATCCCTCCAACCCACTACTACTAAGTAACAAAGGATTCAAGGAATGTGTTTGTCACGTGATAATCACTTAACATGATCATTAAAACACATTGGCACTATATTTAAACACATCAAGCATGTATTCCATGTCATTTGGAGAGAAAAATCTGGAAATGATTTTAATACCCTTTTATTTTAATTGTACTTTTGGTCCCAAATTAAAATTTTCAATGTTACTTTGTCAAACCCTCATCTCACTAAATTCATGATTGCTCCAAAGTTCAACCTTAAGAAAATAGCACTCACTCTCAAGAATATCTCCAGTTTCCATGAAGCAACAGGTAACAAAAAAAATCTTTCATCCTTTAGTTATTTATCTGAATAATTCCCACCATATTGCCACACATCATGGGAAAAATGGGGAAAAGCCTGAAAGGGTAAAGGGATATTTTGTGGAGAAATTATTAATCATTTCCTAACATAGAATATGTGTGAATGCAGGAGATGATATGAAGAAATCATTATCTGACCCGAGTTAATGAGCATGCAACAATCACACAATAAATGAATAAACACATTCTTTTAGTAACTTAACAGCAATTGAATGGAAGAATCTGTTGTGATGTTTTTGATATTGTATAATATTAATTGGCAAATTCAAGAGCAGTGGCTAGTCGCAGTGGTGTGATATTCATAATATATTGTGAAAGAAAGAACTTTATATTTATTCAAGAAAAATACCACCCATTTTATTTAATCTATAGTTAAAATTTTAAGTGACAAGTTCGACAGGCTAAATAACAAGAGCCAGTAACATACCAGAAATAGACCAGGAACAATCCCTCTGTAAAGCGCACTAAATCCTTCTCCCCTCATTATGGTCCTAAATGCATCTGATATTTTATTTTAACAGAATAAAATTTCATGACTAGTTAGCGAATCTCATGAAGATGAATTTAACTACAATAAATAAAATATGCTAACATATGTTAGTGATCATGTGACAAACTATAACAATCACATGGAAAACACATTCCGTTAATAACTTGACTGTCATTAAATGGAAGGATCAATTATGAAGCTTCTGATAGTCTTTGGGTTTAATTGGCAGATAAAAGAGTTCATAGTGGCTAGTTACAAATGGCCAAATGTTCATGATAGATTGGAAAAGAAAGACCTAGATCTTTTTTGGCTGAATAAGACCTTTTATCTTTATTTAAACATAATTCATACATTATATTTAATTTGATTAAAATTTAAGTGCAAGATTGATAGGTAAAATAACAAGAACCAGCAACATACCAGAAATAGACCAGGAACAATTCCCCTGTAAAGTGCACTAAATCCTTCCTCCCTCATTATGGTTCTAAATGCATCTGAAATTTAATTTTTACAGATAAAAATTTCATGACTGGTTAGTAAGTCATATGATGAAAAACAGAACCACAATAAACAAAATAAATATTGACTATCATGTTTTAGGTAGTTCAGTGAAACATAACCACCCTGGCCCCCAAATCAAAAAAGAAAACTCAACTTATGCACCTAACTCTTAGATGTTGAAAATTCCTTTCTTAAAACAAGTGAAATCATTCGAGTCTGTTTGGATACAAGTTTAGAAGCACTTTTGAATGCTTCTCTACTAGGAAAACTCCTTATTTTTAGTAAAAAGGCTCTCAAAAACAATTTTAACTGGTATCCCAATAGACTATATAAATTAAAGCTTAAAACTAATTTTTCCCCCCCATAACCAGTATAAAAATCAATATCATACAAGACAATGCAATGGAATAAATAGGATGAATGCATATGCTTAATGCTGGTTAGTAATGAATGACTGAATACACATATAGCAGTGATAGAGAAACAACCACGAATCCATGACTATTTTTGGATGAGAAAGATAAACACTCAGTCAAATACTAAGACTCAAATTAAACTAATTGGTGAAAATGACCTATCTTTCAACTTTTGGACTAGTTTCAAATTTAATTTAGGCTAAGGTGATCTACAGCCAAAGCAGAAATAATATGAATACTATAAAAAGAAAAATCCCAAAGTGAACAATTTAAAATAAAGTTAACTTAAAAAGGAGAACACACCATAAATCCCAGAGTATGGTCGTCTCTGATGAAGAGGAGTTTGAAGCTGCAATCTTGTCTTTACTAGCCACACAGGATTTGTACACAAGGAAACCTGACAAAAGGCAATGGAAACCAAAATAACTGGATGTTGACTTTTGCCCCCATTCGGGTATGTGACACATTGCAACAATATGTTTGGTGCTTTGCAATCCAGAATCAAAAGCATCCAACTATGAAAGCTAAGCAATATCTCAAGGATAAGCACACAGATAAGGATATAGTAAACTTAAGTGTATTAATTCCATTCTCACAAACAATTCAAAGTTCAAACAATAATATTCATAGCAAATTCATCAATACAGCTCACCTAAAGTACTTCATTGTGGATTTGATTCCTCTAAAGTGAATTTAAATTGAGGGATTCACTTTACAGAATAAAGGAAGGAGTTATATCCATCAATGAAAAATGAAAATCAAGGGAATAGATTTAAATGTTTCATATTTTATTATACATTATTACATTAACATGTATTTTATCACAGTCTCAATTGTTTATTTTTAAATCAATGTCCTTAACTTTTCCCTTTTCCCTTTAAAGTGAGTGCCTCAGTTTGGGTGAGTCAAATCCCTTCACTGTATCACCTTTCATCTCCCTATAGCCTAATGGTGACAAAATTTAAAAATGCAAAACCGCAGGGGCAGCAGAAACTCAACTCCAAGATCCAAGGAAATGCCAGCAGGATTGTACAATTCATAATATTGGGATTTTGTGCACTCACCAAAGCTCCTGCTTCAGCAGCTGAAGCAAGATGAAGACCTGGACTCAACTTTCCGTCCCTGTTCCTAGCATATCTTTGTTTGGCTTTGTCATAGCTGCAATGGAAAAAAATGTTTGGTATGATGACTTCAATCTTCTAGGAAAGCAAGTAGATGGACCACAAACCACTCTATCAATAATAATAAATCACTCATGTCAGGGAGGGGAAAATAGAGGGGGAGGATAATCCATATTCCATTGACATGATAAAGAACAGCGATTTTCCTGAAGTTGTTACGTGTTGAATGAAACTGCTACAGGGTCATATCATATCATACAAACACGAATTCCAAAACCAGCCTTGACTACTAATGAATAGTGAGTGTGGCATGTAAATTCTACATAGAGAAAAAAAAAAATTCTTCCACCATTATGTACTGCAGAATAGGAGATATTGACAAATACAGCTAACGGGACCTCAATTACGGTCTCCCAATGAAATCTTCCAAAACAATAGCTGCATACCGCAATTCAAAACCATGCGAGCAACATATGAAACACAAAAACACAAAAACACAATCAAATAATCCTAAAGAAAACACATCATCTTATTAGAACAAAGCTAATCAAGGGGTTTAGTTCACTTAGTTGAACAGTGTGTTAAGAGTGCTGTAAACCCCCTTGGTAAGTTGGTACACAAGTTCGATTCCCATGGATCAAAACAATAGAACAAAGCTAATCCAATCCCCCAAGCACCAACAATGAGCAACACAACACACCATGTACCTTATTATTCCATGGAAACCTTAGCGCCAACCTCCTTCATCTTGGCAATAATACTCTCAGCCTCTTCCTTGGTGACCCCTTTCTTCAAAACTGCGGGATAATAAGTTCCAAACTGTTTTGTCAAAGTGTATTTATCATGAACAATTTGCCTTTCTTAAAGAACGATCTATTATAGATAATGCATTGGTTGATTCAAAGATTCTCTACTACTTGAAGTGTAAGACAAAAGGTCATAGAGGTGAGGTGGCTCTAAAAATTGACATTAATAAAGCCTACGAATGTATTGATTGGGGATTCTTAGTTGCCATGATGCTTAAACTTGGTTTTGATCAGCGATGGGTAAATTGGATCATGTTATGCGTCAAAATAGTTAATCATTTTATTTTGGTTAATAATGATAGAGGTGGGCCTATTGTTTTGGGTAGTATGTTGAGACAAGGTGATCCTCTATCACCATACTTGCTCCTCATCTGTGAAGAAGGCCCATCGAAATTGATAAGAAAATCAAAAGCAAAAGGGGATATTCATAGTATTAGAGTATGTAAAGGTGTTCCCCTTATTACTCATTTATTATTTGCAAATGATTGCTTCCAATTTTTCGTGCAAATTTGCAGGAAAGGCCAACTAAAAAGATGATGTTGGATGCTTATGAATAAGCATTAGGGCAAGCTCTTAATCATAAAAATATGAGGGTGACTTTAGTATAAATACCATTCGAGCATATCGGGATGATATGCTCAATCTATTAAAAGTACAAGAGTGTTTGGAAACAAGTAAATATTTGGCCTTCCATTAATGATTAGCAGAAGTGACAAAACAATATTCAATTATGTTAAAGATAAATTTTGGAGGAAATTGAGTTCCTAATGGGGTAAGAATTTATTTATTACAGGTAAGAAGCCCTTATAAAAGTTGTAGTTCAATCTATTCCTATTTACAACATGAATGTCTATTTATTCCCTATATTTCTTTTTGAGGAACTTCAAAGAATGTTTAATGCTTTTTTGTGGGTTGTTGTTAATAGGGATAAAAAGGGAATTAAATGGATGAGTTGGGAGAAATTAACAATGAGAAAAGGGTTAAGAGGTATGAGATTTTGTAACTTCTATGGTTTTAATTTAGCAATGCAAGGGAAGCAAGGTTGGAAGTTTTTTTCTAACCTAAATGCTTTAGTTACTTGAATATCCAAAGCAAAATATCTTTCAAATGTGGACATTTTAGATGTTATGGTTAGCCATAACCCAACTTATTGTTGAAGAAGCATCTGGACTTCGTGGGTGTTGTTGCACAAGGGCTATAGATGGAGGATTAGGGATGGTTCAAAGGTAAACATTTGGTCTCAACCATGATTGAGGAAAAAAGATCACCTACGAATTACAACTATTCTAACTAATGAGACTTTATATACTACAAATCAACAACTTTTGATGGTAGGACAAAGTACTTGGAACCAGGAACTTCTACAGATTTATTTAATGAGGAGGATGCAGAAGTTATCTTACAAACTCTTATAATTTAATTTGTTTATGATGATAGGATGATTTGGTTCCCTAAGAAAAATGGATCTTATTTAGTGAAGTCAGCTTATAATTTTTTTTTTACAACCAGTTTGTTGATGTTAACCACTTGACCCGAGTAGGAGATTGAATGCTAATATGGAATTTAAAAGTTCCACCGAGAATGAAGATTTTTCCATGAAGAGCTTGCAGTAACTATTTACCAACCAACGATTTATTAAGAACCAAACGTGTTGATTGAACTTCTTGTTGTGCTTTATCAGCATAAAGGCTTTATGTAATGTTGAATTAGAACAACATCGACACATATTATTTTCATGTGCTCTAAGTGTTGATTGCTTGAGGGTTGCTTCACTATGGAGACAAATTATTCCAATTCTATATCAATGGGATCATTTTACAGGAGTTTGTTTTAAGGTGCTAACCATTTTGAATCTTGATATATATGTGCACCAAATTTGCAATGATTCCATGGAGTATTTGAAAAAATAAAAATCATAAAGTGTGGAATGATCATGTAGAGACACTACAAAAAAATTGCATTTAGCAACCACCAAAATCGGTCGCTAAATTGTTAAAATCGGTCGCTATTTGCCTTAGCGACCGAATTAGCCACCGAATTTAAGTAGTCACAAAAACCCTAGTCGCAAAGCTATATAGCGGCAAAAAAAAATTTGGTCGCTATTTAGCGACCAAAAATTTTGGTTTAGCGACCGATGGTCCTGACTAAGAGAAAGAAGTTAGAGTTAGATATGTTTTTCTCCCCAAGTTTGAGTAGGAGAGAGAGATTTTCAAACTTACTGAAACTAGTTAAAGTTTAACTGAATAGGATGCATATATGCACAAACATGAGTCAGTTATCCTATATAATATCATTCTCTTCTAGTTAGCATTAGATATAAAAATGATAGGTTAAAAGTTAATTTTATACAATTAAAGTCTCACGACGGAATTTGGTACTTACAAAAAGAAATATAAACCCAATGAAATAGTTGACCCCAGAACCCCAGGAAGAAAGCCTGCATATAATCCTCTTAAACCCTGCAAGATAAAGCATGACATATAAGTAATACATTCATCGTATAACATACACAAAGTACCTAAAGCAAAAGTTTCTCTCCTTTTGCAATTTGCAACAGGTGTGAATTTGTCAACACCAATCCCATCAATAAAATACAAGAGGCAACCATTCATCATTTCCAGGCAAGAACCCTTCCCCCCCGCCCCTTGTTGGGCCAAAAATAGGCACAATTATCACTCTTGAAACAGACAATCCAAAATGCTTTTACCACTGTTGCACACATATCATATTGGATACTTTTATATGTTGTAGCTGAGCCCTTCCATGTCTTATAATTATAACTTCTATAATTTGAAAAAACCACATGTAAATGTGGTGTCATTTTTTATATGTCTATATTTGTCACCAAAATTTGGTTTGCATGGACCTCAATACTAGCGGAATGCCATATGATCTCAGGCCTTAATCTTATTAATGTTTCTTCACTCTTCATAAACACCAGAAACCATAGTGCTGAGTTTATCACATTTATCAGATTTATTTGTGCTCAACATCAGCCATACTATCTTGGGAGTAAAGGTGTTATGCAATTCTTATTCTATATATTTCTAACAGCTTTATCTATGCCTAGAAGGTTCAGCAATCAAGATAATTCCCTTTCTCAAGGCCACACGAAAATCCTAACAAGTAGAATAAACAGCACAAAATTGCAGAATTTAATTAATCAAAAAGCAAAATTGATAATTGAAGCCTTAATCGACAAAAACACCAGCGTAGGTCAATTGACAAATCACAAACCTCGGAGCGAGCAATGGTGAAAATGGCGTGAGCAGTGTTCTTGTAAATAGGAAGGTGAGAGACTCGACCATCGTTAACTGCAGAAACGAACAACGCTTCTAAGGATCGAAAGCATGAAAATATCAGAAATATTCGTTTACATGTGAAGAGAGAGAACCTTGGAACCTAGTTCGGACAACATCGAGTGGGTGTATAACGGCGACGGTGGTGAATCCGGCGGCGGCGCCAGCGGCGACGTTTTCCCACTGCCATTGGTCGCGCTTGGGCGCTTCCGTTGACACATGGGGAAACTTGAGATTCAGAGTAATCGTTTTATGCGTCATTCGATTCAAACATGGAGATTGTGGCTGCCACACCCAAGTGTGGTTCGTTATGATGAAAAACAGAACCACAATAAACAAAATAAATATTGACTATCATGTTTTAGGTAGTTCAGTGAAACATAACCACCCTGGCCCCCAAATCAAAAAAGAAAACTCAACTTATGCACCTAACTCTTAGATGTTGAAAATTCCTTTCTTAAAACAAGTGAAATCATTCGAGTCTGTTTGGATACAAGTTTAGAAGCACTTTTGAATGCTTCTCTACTAGGAAAACTCCTTATTTTTAGTAAAAAGGCTCTCAAAAACAATTTTAACTGGTATCCCAATAGACTATATAAATTAAAGCTTAAAACTAATTTTTTCCCCCCCATAATATTTAACGAGTATAAAAATCAATATCATACAAGACAATGCAATGGAATAAATAGGATGAATGCATATGCTTAATGCTGGTTAGTAATGAATGACTGAATACACATATAGCAGTGATAGAGAAACTACCACGAATCCATGACTATTTTTGGATGAGAAAGATAAACACTCAGTCAAATACAAAGACTCAAATTAAACTATTTGGTGCAAATGACCTATCTTTCAACTTTTGGACTAGTTTCAAATTTAATTTAGGCTAAGGTGATCTACAGCCAAAGCAGAAATAATATGAATACTATAAAAAGAAAAATCCCAAAGTGAACAATTTAAAATAAAGTTAACTTAAAATGGAGAACACACCATAAATCCCAGAGTATGGTCGTCTCTGATGAAGAGGAGTTTGAAGCTGCAATCTTGTCTTTACTAGCCACACAGGATTTGTACACAAGGAAACCTGACAAAAGGCAATGGAAACCAAAATAACTGGATGTTGACTTTTGCCCCCATTCGGGTATGTGACACATTGCAACAATATGTTTGGTGCTTTGCAATCCAGAATCAAAAGCATCCAACTAGGAAAGCTAAGCAATATCTCAAGGATAAGCACACAGATAAGGATATAGTAAACTTAAGTGTATTAATTCCATTCTCACAAACAATTCAAAGTTCAAACAATAATATTCATAGAAAATTCATCAATACAGCTCACCTAAAGTACATCATTGTGGATTTGATTCCTCTAAAGTGAATTTAAATTGAGGGATTCACTTTACAGAATAAAGGAAGGAGTTATATCCATCAATGAAAAATGATTATAATTATAAGACATGGAAGGGCTCAGCTACAACATATAAAAGTATCCAATATATGTGTGCAACAGTGGTAAAAGCATTTTGGATTGTCTGTTTCAAGGAAGGGTTCTTGCCTGGAAATGATGAATGGTTGCCTCTTGTATTTTATTGATGACTTAAATATGTTTTTAGTCCCCGTAAATATAAGTCATTTTTATTTTAATCCCTATGATATTTTTTTGAAATTTTTAATCCCTCAAAATATTTTTGTCATACATTTTAATTCTTTCCATTAAATTATCAATGATTTGGAAAATAGTTTGTTGATCTGTCATATATTTTAATATTTTCCATTAAACTATTAATGATTTGGCCAATAGTTTGCTGATGTGGTTCTAGTAACATGACATATCACTTGCTCTTCTTCGTGTGATGGCTAATTCATCTGCACGGAAAAAAAGTTCAAATCCCTAATTCTAATTAATCTTAAATCCATTGTATTTGCTCTTCTTTGTTTGAGGAATTAATGAGTTTTGCTGCTTACGCTTGGTCTATCGAGGAGGTTGTCAAAAACATCTTCACGATTTATGAACCCATCTTTAATGTCTTTAAAAACGGTATCTATCTCATCTTCTACCTCTCATTCGTAAGGAAAATAACACACTCTATAATTCATATTCACCACATTCAACGTCTTCACTTTTGATTTTATTTTTTATTTTTTTTTCTCGGTAGGAAACCATTTGTGAGGCCATTGAACACTACAAAAAAAAGGTGTGACTTGTGACAGTTATTTTGGCAGTTTCTGGCAGTTAAACACTACCACAAATCGCATTACCAGCGTTATTAATAATTGTCGGATCCACACCAAAAATGGCTTGTGGTGCATATTTTTTGAACGCTAGAAAATTCAATCACTTTGTGGTGGTTTTAAACCACCACAAATTGAATTTTAATATTACTCTTTTCACAGCTTTTGACGGTGTAAAAACGCCACAAAATTCATCTAATTTTTTTCTAATTTAACATTTCCAGTGGTTTTAAACCGCCACAAATTGCATTTTTTCTTTTACACATTTTCTATCAAACCATGCCTAATAAATGGTACACCAACAAAAGCAAGAAAAGAAAAAAAAATAATTGGGCCTTCAAACCTAAAACATATAGAGAAAAAAAGCCGCACCAACCAAAATGAAATAAATCATATTGAAGAACTCAAAATGTACCAAGTTTCATCCAATAGAGCAATGATACCAATGGGTTTTTGCAAAATAATGCAATAGGAAACAAAATTAGTATCATCTAGCAAATTGTGACCAAAAAGAAATAAATCAACAAAAACTAAAAAACAAATTGTGAGAAAGGAACCACCATTCTCAGGAAAGGAACATGGGCATGAAAGAGCAACTAAACTAGCAAAAACTAATAACCACCCTTACCAATAAGTACTCCTAATTCTGTAGTAAAATAGAATGACCGGTTAGTTATAGAAGAAAACTATACTTACAAGTTACAACAAAATGTTTATCTAGAGAGTGAAGGGATATGGAATTTACCTTTCATTTGTTCCATTACATGCAATGTTTCATCTTTTGCATTTTTGAAACAGACGGCACTTAGCACTACTAATATGGAACGTTAGTTTCCATTGTAAAGTCCATTTTAAATGTTAACATGTGGCAACCTGTGACCCGTGACACCCATCCTCTATAGCAAGGGAGAAAGAGGAGTACCTTCTCATAAAGACCCGTGATCACCAACTGATGCAACTGTTACAACCCATCCATCTATAATCACAAAGGTGACAGTAGTTCTAGATTTTTGTGCTGAAACAACAAAGTATATCAAAAACATATTAATTAACTCGGAAGTATAAAAACTATCAACCACAACGAAGAAATATAGAAACTATTAATAACTTCCATTAGTAATTTATATTCTTCATCAACAATCTAATACTCATACGACAACAACTAGCATGGAGTTTTAAATATAGATGATTGGATGCACCTAGTTTGTTGTCATTCATAATGACGAGCTTCTCCAAAATTTGATACATTTAATTACTAATGGTATGTGACTGGTGTTGATTACATGCTTCATGCCTTCATGTATAGTACAAAAAGTAGTTTGATCTAACTATTTTTTGGTGCTCTGATTGGACTTATCTCAAATTATTGAGAGATTCAGTAAATGAATTCTATATATAGTTGAAGACATTGTATATACAGCCATAATTATTAGCATAAACAAGTTTGTCAGTCTGAAATATCTCCCAAGGACATTATTTTGTACTGCAACAAGTATCTACGCTAATATAATAATGCCACCAAACGTACTACTGATGAAGAAATAATTGTGATCATTTTGTTCTACACTAATATTTTGTTTTAGACCTTGCTGTTCTTTTTCCAACAAATTTTTTTAATTAATCAACTTAAAGAAGCTAAGTAAAGATTTGTTGATGTAATAAACACGCTTAATTGTTATTAATTCAATAAATTGACGCTATTTATTTTTCTTTTTTTTTCAAAATTTCTATTCATAGGCTTAATCATATGCCAGCGTCAATAAATATTGTCCTACATCTATAATGGGCAATACCCTGCTATTGGAAGAAACCAAGCACTAAGTATATTGATACAAATATAAAAACAAGATGTTATACACAAACTAAGCACCAAGTATACTAGTTTAAGATTGAAATTGACTATAATTGTCATTAGTATCTCAAGTCTCAACAATCACAATACCAAAAAAAAATTTAAAAATTGAAATTGCATCTATCTTACTTCACTATTTGCAATCTTGTGTCTATTAAAGAAAACAGTTATTCTATCAATGCAACAAAAAAAAGGTTTTTTTATTAATATCAATGAGTAACATCATCATTGACATTTATATCTCTAGAAGCCACATTTGTTGCTACAACACCAGTAACTATAACACCACTTGTTGCAGCTTCACTCGGATTTCCATCTCCACTTGTTCCAACTCCACAATAATTTTCCTCATTAAGTTGTCCATTTGCTGTATTTTTACATCATTTCCCTTTTTTCTGCATTATACAACACAACTCATTTAAATTGATATTTATTAGTGAGAAAATTAAAGAAAATATAATGTTAATTACCTTAGATTTGGTAGTAGTTGGTTGTTGTTGTTGTTCTCCACCACCTTCTGGTTGCTTAAGAGGGTTGGGACAATTTCTCTTGTTGTGCCCATATTGAAGGCACCTACCACATCTATTGCTGGTATGAGTTCTCCTAAGTTTGGTTGGATTCTCATCTTCCTCTAGCATCCTTCTCCTTAATTTTTTTGGCCTACTAGGCCCCCTCTTGAAATCAGGTGGCAATATTGTATCATTGTTAGTCACATACCACTTATTTTGGCCATTAATTGGGCTTATTGTTTGCCCATAGCATTTAGCATAGGTCTCCCTCAAATAATATTGGTGAACATAGTCTTCCGGCTTATCCCCCCTCATACAAATTGCTGCTACAACATGTCTACATGGTATACCCACCAACTCCCAAAAGTTACATGTACATGAATATGCACCTAGGTTGACTATAAATTTATCACAAAATATGGTGTGAGTTACCTCAAACTTTAGTTCACTTGCCCAAGTAGCAAGCCAATTGCCACTCATTTGAATTTCTCTATCCAACCTTTTTCTAGGCTTTGGCATTACCCTTCCGTTATACTTACTAAATTTTTTATTTAATGTAGCAAAAAGAGCCATGATGTATGTCCTAATCCATTCAAACATGGTGATAATTGGCTTATCCCTTGCTAATAAAATAGTACTATTAAATTCCTCACTCAAGTTATTCATTAGGACATCACAGCTTGGATAAAAGCTGAAGGCATGCTTGCACCAAGCCTTTGTGGAGATTGCAACTAACCAGTCATAAGCCTTCTTATTTAAAGCTTTAAGTTCATTCATTTTCCCTCTCCACGCCTCTTCATAAGTTGCTTTTGCTGCAGCCATCATCAAGTCTCGTATCATTGTTCCTCCTCCAAACTTTTTCTTGAAATTTTCATATAAATGTCTTAAGCATAACCGATGCTCCACACCTTCCATCATTTCCTCAAACATTTGTACTAAACCCTGTAGCGTGGAAAATAAACCAAGTTAAAGGACAAAACATAATTCATTAAAAATAGACAAACATTATGTTAAACAATAAACCTTCTACTAGTCAGAAATAAAGACCCGTCTCCTGGTAGTATCTCCAAGGTCTTCCAATAGTAAGGTCACAAACCATCTCCAACTATCTTTGGTCTCTGTTTCCACAACAACAAAGGCAAGAGGAAAATATTGATCATTTGGATCCCTACCAATAGCAACCAATAATTGCCCTCCATATTTAGTCTTCAAGTGACATCCATCAACACCAATAAACGGTCTACATGCTGCTAAGAAACCTTTTTTACACCCTTCCAAGCACATGAAGAATCTACCAAATTTGGGCATCACATTTGGAGAAGGCCTTTCCAATTGAATCTTGCATGTATTTAATCTACTGGCCTTTTGAAGCTCAGCACAATAACTCCACAACAATGCATATTGATTCCTTGCATCCCCTTCAACTATATCTCTAGCCATTTGTCATGCTTTGAATGCGCATGATATACTAATTCTTGTTGAATAGTTCCTTTTAATGTCATCCACAATCTCATTCAAAGTAATCCTACTATTACTCCTTAACTTATCTACTAACACTTTTGCAACCCATTTAGATTTGGCATTCTTGTTGTCAAATACTCATCTACAATTGTGCTCACCAAAAAATGTCTTAAGTCTAAATGTTTTATCATCCTTACTCACGAAAGCCATGAAGTTGCATCCTTCACCCTTACACTCAACCCTTACTCTAATTGAATCATTTTTGACAAATTTGATTTCTCTCCGTTTAGCACAGCATGTTCAAGAATGGCATCCTTGAACTCTTTCAAGGATCGAAATTCCATGCCAAGTTGGAACTTAAATTCCTTACACATATCTTCTCCATGAAAGGTGCGATACTTTGGTTTGGAATTAAAATCTGAATCAGAGTCATCCAAGTCATTATGTAACTCATCACTAATATACTCTTCATCTATTTGATGCACAATTTCAATGTCATCAACCATAAATCTCTCAATTTGAACATCCTTTGGTTTCACAGGTTGCACACCACTACTTGATTGTCCCTCGACATTTTCAGCCCTTTGGTTTTCATCTCACGTTGTGTTTGGAATGCTTAAAGGAAGAATTGTATTATTCTCAATAATTGGGATAGAAACATTAACATGATCTACATAGAGTTCTTCCACTTCACAGTTGTGCTCTATTGCATAATTTGCCATTGCAAGCGCATGATTATCACAACTAATTGGCATTAAGCATTCTTCAAGACTACCAGTACCCTCCCTCCACCACAAGTTGACAACATCTGCATACATTAACTCTTTCACTAGAGACAAAACTTCAAGATACAACCATCTATCAATGTCAAGATTACGAAATACGTTCTTTTCTCCTCCCTTATATCGTAGAATGGGGTCTTTCACAAAAACCCCTTTGTGGAGGATGACAATCGTAAAACTCATGCCTATAAGTAGATGATAATCATACAATCAGTCCCCACATCCAAATTCAACCATAAATCAATCATGCCATAAAAAAAATTGTCAGAAGAATCTCAATAGCATGATCTCAAAATGTGAAAACAAATATAAACTAGGGTTTTTAAGGGTTACATACCTAGTCACTCCACTTAGCAATAACCCACGCGCAAAACAATGTTTCACCTTGCCACAAAGTAAAATCAAAAGTGAAGACGTTGAATGCGGTGAATATGAATTATAAAGTGTGTTGTTTTCCTTCTTAACGAATGAGAGGTAGAATATGAGATAGATACTGTTTTTAAAGACTTTAACGATGGGTTCACAAATCGTGAAGATGTTTTTGACAAACTTCTCGATAGACCAAGCGTAAGCAGCGAAACTCATTAATTCCTGAAACAAAGAAGAGCAAATACAATGGATTTAGGATTAATTGGAATTAGGGATTTCAACTTTTTTTTTCGTGCAGATGAATCAGCCATCACGTGGAGAAGAGCAAGTGATATGCCATGTTACTAGAACCAAATCAGCAAACTATTGGCCAAATCATTAATAATTTAATGAAAAAGATTAAAATGTATGACAGATCAGCAAACTATTTTCCAAATCACTGATAATTTAACGGAAAGGATTAAAATATATGATAGAAAGATTTTAAGGGATTAAAAATTTCAAAAAAATATTATAGGGATTAAAATAAAAATGACTTATATTTACGGGGACTAAAAACATATTTAAGCCTATTTTTAATTTAATGGAACTAACGTTTTTATATCAATTGAACTAGATGTTTAGGTCAATTTTGAAAATAATAATGAAAATAAAATAAGATTTATGAAAAGAAGTTTATTTATCTTAACAAAATTCAAAAGCACAATAAATTATGTATTTTCATATTATCTAATAATGTAATAAAATATTAAGCATGGTAAAAGAAAAATAAATTTCTCAAGAGAAAAATAAATAAATTTTCTAGATAAATTATTATTTAAATTAGTCTAATTTTTTTTTAAAAGATTCAATTAAAAATATTGTTATTTAATTTTCTTTTATAACATTATGTTTCTCATTTTTTTAATACATCATGATATATTAATTATCTATTTTAAATTATATAATTTCTATTATTTTAAAAAACAAATTAATTTTATTGGGAGGGTACTGATTTTTATTTCTTATCATTAATATTTTTATCATTATAAAAATAATATTATATATTTTTATATTTGCTTTCATTTAAAAGAAATATATTTCTAAATTTTTTAAAAAATTTACACTTAGCGACCGATTTTAATTTGGTGGCTAAAATTATTATAAATAATAATATTTTTATTTTTTTAGCGACCGATTTTAATTTGGCCGCTAAAATTATTATAAATATTACTATTTTTTATTTTTTTAGCGACCGATTTTAATTTGGTCGCCAAAATTATTATATGGTCGCTAAAATTATTATAAATAATAATATTTTTTTTATTTTTTTAGTGATCAATTTGAATTTGGTCGCTAAAATTATTATAAATAATAATATTCTTTTGTTTTTTAAGCAACCGATTTTAATTTGGTCGCTAAATTATTATAAATAATAATATTTTTTTATTTTTTTAGCGACCAATTTTAATTTTGTTGCTAAAATTATTATAAATAATAATATTTTTTTTATTTTTTTAGCGACCGAAACCGTTCCGTCGCTATTTTAATCAACAATTATTATTTTAGCGACGATTTAGCGACCGATGTTTTGCCACTAAAAAATTTGGTTGCTAATTTGGTCGCTAAATCAAATTTGCAACCAAATCAGATTCGGTCGCTAATTATGTCGCTATTAGTGACGGAAAAAATTGGTTGCTAATTTCAGTGGCTAAATTGACTTTTTTTTGTAGTGAGACTCCTAAAATGGTAGTTTCTAAAGTTATCCAAACATATACAAAATGGCTAACTGCTAAATGTTTAAGGAGAGAAATCAACCTCCCTTTCAATTTGATAGTCAAGTGTGTTGGAGAAAACCACCAAGTGAGTTCTTAAAGTGTAATGTTGATTTTTTTTTTTCATATAAGAAATCGTATCACTAGTTAGGGCTATTTTTTTGGGATGAGATTAGTTCATTTGTGCTTGACAAAATTTGTTGGGGAACACCATGTCTTGATGTTTTAGAGGGTGAGATTCTCGAGTTATTAGAAGCTATGAGGTGGGCTGCTAAGTTAGACATGACACATCACTTTTTAGGTGGATTGTATGAGAGTTGTTGACAACATCTGACACTTTGGTCTTGATTGTTTTGAAGTCAATGCTATTATAAGAAATTATAAAGTTTTACTATCCCATTATCCAAACTTTTGAGTAAAGTTGGTTAGGAGACAAGTTAATGTAACTTATTCTCTTGCTAAGCGAGCTACTTCAAATGGTAGTCCTTTTATCTATTCACAATTACCACATTGTATTGCTTTTGTTATTAATAATGAAGTGATACAAGTTTCCTTTGATGAAAAAAAAATTAAATTATAATATTTCAACTTCAAATAAATCCAAATAAAATTATAAAATTCAATAAAATCATATTCAACACAACTCTAATACAAACTGAAATATATGGAAAAAATAATTCAAATTGATTAAGATAATTAGTTAATAAAATTTAATTTTATTAAGCCCATTTAATTTTTTTCTTCTAATTATTTGTCCAAGTGAGATTATAGCAATTAAATTAATTGTAATATACTAATTAATTATTTGCAGTTATAGAAAATAAATTAATTGTAATTTGATTACATTTTTAATAAATGTTTTACTTAATTAATTATAAATTTAATTAAATATAACCACTAAAATTTGGACACCTGGCAATATATGGTGGAAGAAGCGAAACTAATTTGCGATCTTGTCATAATTTTAGTGTGACATATGGTGTTGTGTGGTGGAAGAAGCAAAATCAAACTACATAAACAATAAAAAAATAAAAAATAAAAATCTCATGTGTGCCCCACGTGGAAAACACATAACAACTCTAGGTTAGGTGAAAATGAAAAATATTTTTGTATTTTTCACTTGATGCACACATGGAAGGAAGTTGCTTAAAAATTGAAAAGAACGGAAAAAAAATATCTATGTGAGAAGAAAGACACATATTTGACTTGTGTCTTCATTTGTTGTGCATCCCAAAGTGAGAATTTTTTTAGAAAGAACACTATATCGGTAAATAGTTTCTAAAATTACATTAAATAAGTTGGACTACACGAAGTAATGTTGTAATTGGATACTTTTTTTTTCATAAACATTTACCCTATGTTTAGAATAGATGAAGAAAATAAAGGGAGAAGAAGTAGAAAAAAATGAAGAGAAGGTATATATACACATACACACTTAGATAAATAGATAAATAAAAGTAGAGGTTGTTTTGCTGAAAAGCAATAAGGATATTTTTTGTCTCTCATGATCTATACTTAAACTAAAAGGTAAAAGCTTTACTCTCTCAGATTCATTTGTATGATATAAACTCCTTACTTAAAAAACATGTTTGTCATCATAAAAAATGCAAGATGTTAGTTTAAAAAATGAATTAGCACCCCTCTCCTTTTATTATGTTTTGATTATGACATAACAATGTTTTGTATTCTTTAAGTAAAAGTTTGTGTTATCATAAGATGTTTTCCTTTGTCACAAACGAAACACAATAAACTATATTTATTATGTCTTAAATGAACTGATACTCGTAAGTCTTGGTTCCCTAAATTTATAACAAAATAAAATTGACCTTGGAATCATACAAAATGAATAGAGAACTCATCTACATCTTCCATTGGAAGGTTCCTTTACAAAAAGACAAAAGTTGCCTCAACTTGTCTAAAAAAGAACTACTTCTATGCAATTTTGTCTATCTAATCTCTAAAAAGTGTTAGCACTGACTTTAATGACTTATCCCCAGGATATGCCTAAGCCCTCCAGGATACAGTAGGGTCGTCTCAAGGATTAGAGAGAGGTTTATTTCGGATGATAAAACAG